GGTGAAGAGGACCCTCAGGAATATATAGAAGATGGAACAAAGGTTTTAAATAAACCATCCAAAATGAAACTCCCAAATTATATATAAAGAAACCAACAAAAGATAATGAGAGGTCAAATTCCATCCAATGACTTATAAAGTGCCTCAAAGCCAAACAGTGCAAACCTATGGCTATAGGCAATTGATTACACTTACATTATTAAACATGTGGAAGATGGATACCAAACATTTTAACCCCTTAAAGGAACATTGTAACTGATTTTACCAGTTGATCAGAACCTGCAAGCTGGCCGGAGGATGATCTTCGATAGGCTGGAGAAGATGATGAGAAGGGGAGTTGTACCGGCAAAGCACTCCGACGATCAAGTAAATATGGGAGCAAAGAAATACAATAAAAGTATTGGGATTTCAGAGATGAATAATGGATACCTGGCCCTCACATGTGTGAGGGTTTATATAATGCCCCCGACGCTTGGCAATTGGTCCCTATTTTTGGGCCGAGATACGTGGGTCCTAAAAATAGGTAACTTCCAAGACTCGGTCAAAACAGACAGGTGTGCCTGTAACTAGCTGTTGGATCCAAGAAGGAGGTGGATTACGGGCAGATGGTCATTCTGGACGTTTCCTGGTTGTCTTATCGACTTGTTGGGATGAGAGAGACAACGACTAACTGGGTCAGGCGAGCGTGTCGGGCATAGCTGGTCGTATGCTTAGGGGCATGGTCGACCAGAATGTTGGGCCACTGTTGTTGGGCCGTGTCAAGGGTAGAAGAGGATTGGGCCAATTCTCGTCATTGGGTCAGTTCAGAACAGGATCCTCCCAAGTTGTTTCTTCTGGGCATAAGAGTGATGACTTAGAATCAGCCTGCGAAACGGGGATGCTTCTTGGTCGACATTGCTTGAGGGGTATAAATGATGTTCGTTGTGTTTGCCTCGCAGGGAGGGGAACGATTGAGCGATTTATTTTGAGGAGTAATATTTTGCGAGGAGTTTGGAAATTTTCCCGGTGTTTGGTTACCAAGGATAGGAATCTGGAGAGGTTGCGTGCTTCGCATGCATCGAGCTGCACGCTGCCAGATAGGCGTGATAATGGTTGGCCTAGGGGCTAGGGCATAATGATGACACCCTTTAGAGTTTCCTAGGCGCGTGTTTGCCCACGCGTTGGTGAGCCCAGCCTATAAAAATATGGGAGAGAGATCTATATATACTTTTCGCCTATCTTTCAACTGCTCGATACCTTTGTTCTTGCCCGACTTCATCTGTACCTGCTTGACTACATCTGTTTTTAATATTTTCGTTTGTTTCGCCGTTCGCCGTCGTCTATTCTCGTTGTTCCTTTACTTAATCTGGTAAGCTTTCTTTGATTCGCCTTGTTTTTGTGATTTTCACTTTTGTTATAGTTTAGATTTAAAGGTTTTTCCTTAGAAAATGCATACGGTTAGGTTTAGGGAACTGCTTGTTAGGGAGTTCTTGGGAGAGTGTTGGTGGCAGTCGGTGGTTCTATGGGTTGGAATCGTCGGACGAGCCTGGAATAGTAGCGGTGTTCATGATGAGTGTAGATGATTCTTATCGGTGACTTCGAGCGTTCCTGTCAATCTCAGCTCATTCTGTCGAGGGGGAATAACTGTCTGCTAGACGCTTAAGTGAGGGCTCTGGTCGGGGATAGGGTCCCCGTTCCTTAGCACCCTTTTACTTTATTAGTGGTGGAAGGTTATTTTTGACATTGATCTTGAACTCACATCTATCCTCTGATTTTCAGGTACTATGGCAGATAACACCTTCGACGAGTTTCTCAATGAGCCTAGTGGTTCTTCCCGAAGTTCTGCCGAGAGTACGTCTGGAGAGGCAAGCACTTCGGGGGCGTATGAATCCTTGCCGGAAGCAGTGGTGCCAGAGATGCTTGGTAATCAAGATGCTGAGGGGGACGTGGAGGTGGCTCTCGTTGATCAAGAGGGTCCCAATGCACCTGTGGTCGAGGAAGGTCCACTAGATTGGGTTGCATCGGGCCCGTTGAGGTATGTCTCATACTTTATTGAGCATCCTGGTGAGATATTCACCCCGTTGGATCTAGAGATGGACCGAGAGGGTGCCGAAGAGCAATGGGAATCAACATCCCCAATAAGAAGAACCGAATATGCTCGTGGGTCGAACCTCGTCGGTTCCCTATGTACGAGATCGTGTTCAGGGATATAGGTTTACGACTCCCTTTCTTGGACTTCCAAGTGGCGGTCTTCAGGCATCTTCTTTGGCTCTACCTCAGTTGCATCCGAACTTGATCGCCTTCCTTCGGGCTTTCCCAATTCATGAACCAAATTTATGCCCTCCCCGAAACACAATAAGGCTTTATTTGGGAGTTTGGAGGAGAAGAGGATGGATACAATTCATTAAGGGATAAAATATGTGGTTCGAAGCTAAACCTGGTAAATTTTTTGGTTGGGGTTGTGTAATTTGTTCCTATTTTGGTTAAAGATTAGTTATTGTGATAATCTTTATTTGGTTCTTGGTTCGCCGATAAAACCAAGATTGGTTGAAGATTACTCGATAGTAAAATCTTCATAGGTTTGAGATTAGCCTGGTCAACATCTCAGAGGTTATGATTTATCATGTTAAAATCAATTTTGGTTTGAGATTAGCCTGGTTAAAATCTTAGAGGTTATTTTGGTTATCCGGTTAATCCAAAACTATTGAGCTCAGATATTTTGGAACTTAAAGAGTAACTGCTACAAGGTCCGTGTTCATGGAAAGGAAACTAACAGCTTCAATCTGCATTTGGGAAGGGAGAATGGCCACTTCACTCTTAACAATTTATTAGAGAAAAGACGCAAACGCCCATATCCATTGTCTTGTAATTTTTGGTTGAAGGTTAACCATCATTTTCTTGTATAAGGGGGTTCGTGAGATTTCCTACTAAAATCTCTCAAGTATCATTGGTAACTCTCAAGACCAAGTCTTGGGGACATGAGTAAGTCCTTTAGTTTTGACCAAGCCTATATAATTTTGTGTCCTTCTTCTTCCTTTAACTTTTACTTTCTGATATTTATTTTTGGCTGCTTATTATTTGAAAATGATTTTAAACTCGGATTTAACTTGGAAAAAGTTTTCAAAACTAAGATTTTCCAAACCACACAATTCATCTCCCCTCTTGTATGTGAAGTCTCACGTCTAACATTTGGGGGTGGTTGAGGGTGAAATATGTGTTGAACAATTTTCGCTGTGTTACTCTCTAGTTTTTATTTGACAACGACCATGATTTTTCTCTAGTTTGGAGTTTCTATGTTATGTCTTTGTGTTGTCATTGTGTTTTTTATTTTCTCTATGCCAGGTTTTTTCCAATAATTAGTATAAAAACTTTTGGTTCAATCCGGGTTTAAGAGTTCTTAGTATACTTTGTAATCTTCCACAACGGAAAATATGGCTAATATTGTGAAAGAGTTGTTGAGATGCAGCCACAAGTTCCGCTGTGCAGTTTAGGATAGAGAAAATTAATGAAAAAATTGTTTTTGACTCGTGAGAAGTTAAAGTAAAATATATGTTGATACAATCAAGATTACACAAGATGTTGGTTAGTGGTTAATACGTGAGCATTAATTGACATTGATACAAGGTGAGATTATGTTGGTGCTTGAATAACTTCTTGCCAACATGGAAGTTACACCATAACTCTTTCAGCCCGATTTTCGACATGCGAAATTCTTGAAGTTGTTTAACTTCAAGTGAAATATATTCTTCATGATAGAGTATATGATTGTCATTGATGATAATGTGAAATTCTTGGAGTGATTTAGCTTCAAGTGAAATATATTTTTCATGATAGAGTATGATGATTTTTAAACTTGATTGTCAGTGAAGATAATGTGAAATTCTTGGAGTGATTTAGCTTCAAGTTAAATATACTTTTCATAATAGAGTACGATAGGTTTTGAACTATTATTGTCGGTTAAGACAATGTGAAAATTCTTAGAGTGGTTAGCTTCAAGTGAATATACTTTTTATGGTGAAGTATAATTGTCAACGAAAATAATGAAAGATTATGTATTAATTATTTTCAATCAAGGTGAATATTGATGGAGTTGGTTGAAAATATACATAGTGAAGAACTCCTACATCCCTTAGTATTGTAAAGGAAGATGAGATACAAAGCTATATAAATGATTATAGTTTTTCATTATAAAATACATTTGTCAAAAGAACTTTAATCTTATATTTAACTTTCTTTATTCTCTTATACTTTTGATCAGAATATTGTGAAATGTAGTTAAATATTTACTTTGTAATATCTGTATTAAAAGCCAATAATTTCTATATTATGTATTTGTATTACGATTGTGTTTATTTTATTTTAATAAGCCACTTATACATTCTGCAGCAACGTAGCTTTGACGGGCTTCGACATGTTTTTTTCTCTTTTAACCAATTGTCATATATTGAATTAGAGTATATTGTAGGTAGTGAGACCAATTTAAAATTTAAAAGTAAGCCAATGAATATTTAAAAAATGTATTTTAATTGTTTAAATAGTTAAAAAATGTAAAACAATAGTATAATAAATTGAATGAAGTCCATTAATACCACCAAATAAAATGACATGAATGTGGATGTTATTAGAACGTCTATATAAGAACTCTCAAGGTGTCTGTTGGTAAGAAGCACAATAATAGCAACACTTGAATAAGTGGATAATGTTGTCACTTTGAAAATGAGCTGATAAGAAATTAAAAACTGTTTTAAACTAGCTTGGCCTACACTCTCCCTAATGATATTTTAGTCACCAAGTAAAGAAGAAAAAAGAGCCAGAGAATCATTTTTTTGATTGAACCAAGTATTACACAACAAGACAATGACACAAATATGGCTCAATGCTCCATGCACTAGTCACTAAATGATAGCACCATTTTTTTATGAACATCTCCAATAATAGCATGTGATATAAAAATCAGCATGTATAATTACATGTAAATAAAAAAGTGAATGAACCAAACATAAGAGATTCTTGCAAAATCATCATGAACAACAAGGAGGCTGTTTAGTTGCAGTGACTTCATCAGCTAAATAAATCTCTCTCCCATTCAAAAGCCTAAGTGGTCTTTCATTCCTTTTGACTTCCAAACTTTTCTGGCTTGTGATTTCAAATATCTTTGTGATCATTTGCAAGAACACTTGCTCAACATTGAGATTCTTCAAAGCAGAAGTTTCCATAAAACACAAACCTTCCTTCTCTGCAAACTCTTTACCTTCTTTTTCCTCAACGTGTCTTGATTCAACTAGATCACTTTTGTTTCCAACCAGAATAACCACCATGTCTTCGCCACCAAATTCTCTTAGCTCCACTAACCAGTTTCTTACATTCTCAAAACTCTTTCGCCTCGTTATGTCATACACTAACAATGCTCCCAAGGCTCCTCTATAATATGAACTTGTGATAGCTTTAAACCTGCCACACAAATAATGAATCCATTAGTTAATTAGGCCTTGGTCCATGATGTCATACACTAACAAGTTTTAGAAACTAGAAAGATGAAATTGTTTGATTGTGATGTTGGCAACCAAATCAACCTTCACCACCTCACTCAATTTGATTGTCTATCTACCATTCATTTGAACTAGGCCATTTCATGGACCCACAAAACCTAATAGTTACGCTATTAATTTAAGATTGCATAATCATGAACCAAAACTTCATTTCTACACTATACACAACAAAGAGTGAGTTCTACTCTTTCATCAAATCACTCATTTTTTCATTCACATTAGTCAACTCAGCTGAGAATTTTCTGCTTTTTCTCATCATGAAAGTGTGCATGCAAATGCAATTACTCAAAGGCAAAAAATAGTACTTCTTTTTTATAACCTGGTATAAAGAAAAAGTTACCTTTAAAAGGAGAAAATTACGGCACTTTTATCCAATTCCAACAACTAATAAAGCAAGTTTCTGTGTGACAACAAAATATCATACTTGGAATTCAATCCATGATAATACTAATACAGTATTAACTCAGACACGAACACGATGCTGACACTAACACGTATCTGACGCCAAGATATTGAAAAATGAAAGCAAGAACAAGAAGAATGATACAAAAGCAAAAGAATAAAGAAAGAGTTATAAGTAGTTGCTGTTGTTACCTTTCTTGGCCTGCAGTGTCCCATATTTGAGCTTTGATGAACTTATCTCTAACTCTGATGTTTCTGTAAGCAAATTCAACTCCTATAGTTGGTTTTGAATCCAACCTGAATTCATCTTTTGCAAATCTTGATAACAGATTTGATTTTCCCACTCCAGAATCACCGGTTAGTACTGCTTTGAACAGATAATCACACTCTTCATCATACATTGCAACAAGGTTAATGAGAGAAGATGAAGAAGAGGAAGAAGAAAGGTGGTAAAATAGTGCGCAATAGTGTGAAAGGCACGGTGTAATCTTATATTTATATTACAATGCTATAAGAAAACTCTTTCATATTGTTTTTGGTCCAATGGCATTCTTACACGTGTCTTATTTTTCAAAAGAAAAATTGATTTTTTTCATGCTTACGTGGCCTTTCATGATTGGCTTTCGTAATTTTAGATTAGATGCGATGATTTGTGTTTGTGGTTGGTTGTGTTAGTAATTATACAATTAGCAATGGGTTTGGCAGAAATAATAAAGATATAGATATGATTTTGTCACTGTAGCGTAATAGGAAAAGTAATTCGTTTTTTTAAACAATAAAGAGAATTTTGTTTTCATATTTTTTGTCCTACTCTCCTTGATTATCACAACTTTCATAGTAATGGCAACTTGGCAAGTATCAAAGCATCATATCCTTTTAAATTTCAAATACTTAAAATAATTGGTGCATTAAAATGAAAATTCTTTTTGAAGTACATGATATTTGATAGGTTCTTAAAGAAAACTATAACAAAACACGACATTTTAAAAAGAGAGATAAGAAAGCACTTTTTTCATTTCTCAAGTATTAGATGAAGATGAATTTGAGAAATTTTCAAATGTAACACCTACTAAGGAAACATCTACTAAAGAGTTATGTGAGAAACTTCATACCTTCTTTAAAGGTGAAGTCAAAGTAAAGAAGTCACGTCTTCAAACTTTGACACAGGGAGTTCAAATTTTTGCATAAAGTCATAGACTATTTTCAAATATTTTTCAATAGTTATTGTTGTTTTAAATCAATTAAAAAGAATTATCGAAAGTTAGAAAAAACACTTTAGTCAGTTAAAATGACTTTTAAAGTTGGGTCTGAGCCCGACCTAAGAGTTGTCGACATTCGAAGTAATGAAAATTTCAAGATTTTAGTTTTTTTTGTCATGTTTTTAATCATTAGTTGTTGTATTATCATGACAACTTTCATTCCACTATGTTACTTCCTCTGGTTTTTATTATAAAAATTAATTAATTTTTTTAATTCATTGAAGAATTAATGTATTTAGACTACATATAATTTAAATATATTGATTTTTCAATAAATCTACAAAGTTAGTTTAGACTACATTATGTTATGTATTTTAATTTCATTTGAGTACTTTGTACTTCAAGTCAAACGTTGTATTATTAATGGTATCATGTACTAAATTTAATGTCCATTCTAGTTATTCTAGATTTATAAGTTATGGGATGTTACAGTCAACATATTTAAAAAGGTCTCAATTGTGTAAAAAGAGAATAATAAATGTAAATACCTTATTAGGAGTAAGTTGCAAAAGTCTTTTCGGCCATTGAATAAACGTATTGAGGGCCTCACCAACCGTTGTAACCTCATTCGTGGGCACATGTACTTTAACATTTACATATATCACCTTAGTAACAGCCACTTGCACCATATCATTATTCAGCACCTGATTATGTATATTAGGCCACAACCTATACACATTAGCACATGTCACTACTGACCCGCTATGCAACACGATACAAAAGAATGTGTTAAAAAATGTGATAAATGCCAATTCCACAGAGACATGTACTTGGCACCGCCCAACAAGCTTAAAACTCTCTCGTCTCCATGGCCCTTCGCCTGGTGTGAAATGGATATCCTCGGGTTGTTTACCATAGGGTCAAACCAAAACAAGTACCTGATAGTCGATGTTGATTATTTTACGAAGTGGATAGAGGCGGAAGTCCTAGCCAAAATCACGACAAACAATATACGTCGTTTCTACAAGAGAAACATACTTGCCTGATTTGGTGTACCACAAGCATTCTTCATCGACAACGGAACGTAATTCACAGACAAAAATTTCTAGGAATTCGTCGTCAAATTGGGCACCAAACAAAATTTCACATCTGTCGAGCACCCGCAAACAAATAGGCAGGTTGAATCCGTAAACAGAGTGATCCTACGAGGCCTAAAATGAAGATTAGGAAAGGAGCTACACAACGAACTTTAGACCTATAAAATGACACCGCACTCAACCACTGTGAAAACTCCATTTCAACTAGCCTACGGGACTGAGGCAGTAATCCCATTGGAATCAGAGAACCCTCTAGGATAACTGAATTCCCCCTCAACAAGGAGATGAACAACGAAGCACTACAAGAAGAGATTGACCTTGTCAAAGAAATTCGATCAAGAGTAGACCTCCGCGAAGCCTTGCTAAAACAAAAGATAGCCATACGATATGATGCCAAAGTTATAAAACGAGAATTTGAAATTGACAACATAGTCTTGAGAAGAAATCATTAAGATTCTCGCAAGGGCAAACTCACCGCGAACTGGGAAGGCCCCTATCGTGTCCGATCAAAAACGGAAAACAGGGCCTACTACCTCGAAAACTTACACAGGGGAGAACTTGCTCGACTATGGAACACCGAGAAACTGAAACAATATTACAGTTAGGCCTGACAGTCGGCGTACCCTATTCAACAACGACAGGATATGTCCTGACCACAAAGGTGTGCTCGGGTACAAGCACATCGTCCTAAACTTAAAACAAAAAGCCAACTTTCCACTCTTTCACGAGCAGATTCTTGGCCCAACGGGGAAACCTCAACCGAGCTCCGTCTTCGTCGTACCAATGAGGAAGAATGCCTAGCTCATGATGGAATGTTCACACCACAGAGCTAAGATCCCGATCGATATCTTTCTACCGCTATCATTATGGAACCCTACTTCTGTTAGTCGACGGGTTCCCTACACTGTCGAGCAATAATAATGTCGAGCAATACCCCCAAATACTCAGAAAAAATAAATTGCAAACAAATATATTATTACGAGTAGCTCAAATCGACGAGCATCTAGAACACCTAACCGAGAAAAATAAGTACTCGGAAAACAAAGGCATACACGAGCATGTAAAAAGAGTAAAGTGAAATTAAAATAACGACCACAGAGGCCGAGGATATCACGATATTACAACAAAAAATAGGCGAGGCCCACTATCTAAATTTTACATAAACACGGTGCACAAGCCCGAATAAATACAAACAAAACAAATAAAAGTTAAACTTAGTCAGTCCTCCCATCATCATGCTCCCCCTCTTTGTTGAGCTCTTCCTTTTCTCCATATTCATTAAAGGGATAGAAGAAGGAGCGATTATCTGACAATCAACCACCTTGTGCTTTAACTCGATCCCCTTAGTGACAAGCTTGACTCTGGTGCTCACGGTTTGGACCTGAGCCACTGCATTTTCAAAGCTCATATCGTCAACATCCAAACAATCTTGCTCAAGGCTCCTATTCCGAGAAACCAGCTCGGCATGGGTCCATAAGGCTTTCACTTCGGCAGCCTCATCCTCGGCGAGAGCGGCATCAGCCTTCAAGGCAGAAATCTTATCCTCGAAGTCTTTCTTCTCTATAGCATGCTCAAGTGTCAAAGCAGTCATATCCGTAGTTAACTTAGCCAGTTCCTCTTTCTTCTCACGCATCTCAGTAACAATCTCACACTGAATCTTATACTTCCCCTTATAGTCCTCAAAAGCGGTCTCCAGCTTGAGCACCCCCACTTCAAGCTCTGCATTTGTGGTCTGCAGCTTCCTCAGCTCGTCAACAGAGCAGGTTTCCCCGTCATTAAGTGAAGATTTGAAAAACACAAGAAAGAGGGGGAGGGGGGGGGTTGAATTGGGTTTTAAATAAAAAAAATCTTTAAAAATATTATTCTCCTTTAAGTTAAAATATTTTTTCCTTCACTCTTGATAATAACAATAAGTAAGAACAGGAAGTAAAGAATAAAGTATATTTATACTAATTCACTTGAAAATTATCAAGCTAGTATAGTCCACCCGTCAAGGTGATTTCGCCTCACTCAATCGAGGACTTAATTCATTATAACCAAACTGATTACAATTTGAACAAGCTACCCGCAAGTGACTAACAACCTCTAAGACGCACAAGTCCTATACTTCTTAAGGATACAAACCTACCCAGTCCCTTACGGAAAATCCCATACAAGCTACTTGTAAGTGACTAAGAACCTCTAAGACAAACAAGTCCTAGACTTCTTAAGGATACAGACCTACCCGGTCCCTTAAGGAAAAATAAAACAACCGTTTGAATACAAGTTTTGTTTACAAGAGTATTGTTTCTACATAAGATGAATATGTAAACTATTTTAAGAATAATGACTAAAAAATATGAAAGTTGTGAACAACACTTTGTGCGTGGATATTTCATTGATTGGCAACTTTCTATCTTAGTCTTCAAGCCTTTATATAGCCAATAGAATAATATATCCGTTGATGGGTACTCTTGGGATTTCCAGAAACATTTGGCAACTTGAGCAACATCGTGGGAGACAAGATCGTATAATGCGCCCGTCCTTTCATGGTAGTGGAATGAAATGTTGATTGTACTATGTACTATTTGTACCACATTAACATTATCTTCTTTCCTTCTGAACTTTGAAGGGTGAGAAAACACTTAGAAGGGGGGGGGGGTTGAATAAGTTTCTCTTTTTCTTTTCCTTAAATGCTCAACAATAATGGAAAGACACGATTATTTTTATCCTGGTTCGTTTGAACTCAAACTACTCCAGTCCACCCGCCAAGGGGATTCCGCCTTTCTCAATAAGGACTTAATTCACTATAATCAACTGATTACAATCACACAACAACTGTTGTGACTAACAATGCACAAGTAATCTTACAAGTTACTAACACCACTAAGACTTAAACTAGTCCTAGTCTACTTGAGAAATCTGACCAAACTTGGTCTCTCAAGGAACAATTACAAGAGTTAAATCTTTACAGATAGTGAAACAAAATTTGCTTCTAAGAAAGCTATATCACAACTGTGATTTTTCACTAAGATTAGTATTGCACAAAGTGTATGTAAAATAATTTGTGAGCCCAGAATATTTTCACGTAGTTCTTGCTTCTTTTGAATTTTTGAGTTGTTAAGT